GCTAGGTAAAAACGAGTGACTATTTAAATCACCTTACTGGCTAGGTAAAAACGAGTGACTATTTAAATCACCTTACTGGCTAGGTAAAAACGAGTTAACTATTGTTGGAAGAGGGAACAGTTTTAGATCTTCCAAGTACCAATCGTGTACTCATAGTAGAAGATAGGAGGCTGGGGGCAAGACGGTGGGGTTTTACTCACTACTCACACAGGGTTTCATACCCAAACCTCAAACAATAACTTGCTTTAAACCAAGAATAACTAACAGCGACAGTTTGCAAACAATAGCGTTTTAGTAGGCAGTTCTTACATTTAGTAAAAAGTACAAGAAACTAAGCAAGACTATGTGTGTGTGTGTGCGCGTGTATAAAATCTTGTCTTTTAATTTTGAAAACATCCCTGAAGTTTGTTGGGGAAACTCGAAAGGGAAAGAAATCAGGACTTAGGTTGGTCAAGGAAACTGGTACTCACATGTACCCTGCAGCTATACATTATACACAGGAAAAGGAGGAGGGGCCCAAGGAGGGAGTGGCGGCTCCCGTGCGTGGTCTACTAATTCACATTTTGCTCTCTTCTATTCACATCCTGCGCGGACTCCACCCAAAGCAACCAAGCGAGGGGGTGGGTGGGACTCACAGCTTACCACTCAACAGTCCCAGAAACCGAAACAAAATCGAGTTGAAATTGTGAAAGCATTGCTCACCAGAATAGGGGAGCACGAGAGGGGACCCTTCTTTTGGCAGGAGAGGTATCCCTAGCCCTCCCGGCTTCCGGGGGCACTCGCTCCCCTCAACAGTAATCAGTTCCCTCCTCCACATGGAACGAGGAAGACGGTCACAGACACACACACAGAGCAAGGCCACTCGTCCCTGGAACGTGGGCGGAGAACACACAAGTATTCCACAGAGATTTTGAAAGAGAAATCAAGGGGTGGCAAGCTGGGAAAGGCGGAGGAAAGGAAGAAAAGAAACTGACTGCGGAGCTGGGGAGGCGCAGGACGATGGAAAGGAACTAAAGGTAGCCTAGGGCCGGCGCCCCAGCGAAGAAGAGCTACCTGTTGAATGGAGCTGGCCCTGCGGAGACGGAGGGGGAAGGGCGGCGAGACACCCCTGGGAGCGGACCTGTAATCTCCAGACAGCCTCCCCGGGGCCAGTGAGATCTCAGCCCCAGTGCCTGCGGGGCCCCACCCTGAGAAGCCTTGGCTGCAGACACAGTGATGAGAGACACCGACAGAAACAAGGGGGAGGCAGACGACTGGAGCCGGTCTGGCCCGCTCCCGCGGTTAAGTCACTCACATCTGATATTCGTCTATCGCCTCCACCAGCTGGCCCCAAGAGTCGAAGTCGGCGCCTCTCCTAAAACTGGCGCCCCAGCGCTGCAGCAGACTCCGGGTCACCTCCGACATGGCCGGTCCCCACCACCCCCGTCCCCTCCCGCCCCTTCCCCAGCAAAGCCGGGCTCTAGGGCGCCATCCTCCCCGGGCCTGGCCCCGACATTAACAGGGCCAGGAGGAACCGCTGCGGCCACCACCGCCACCCGCCGAGGAGCCGCCCAAGCCCATTCGCAGCCACAGCCAAACTTGCGGCTCTAAAGAGACCGCCCCGCCCCCGAGTCCCCGCCCCCGTGGTTAGGTTGAGACCGCCCCACTCCACCCTGGGCCGCCATCGCTACTGCGGCGGCTCCGCTCAGCCCGGGACCCCAGCCAACGCCTGCTTTTCTCTCTGGGGAAGAGGCCGCAGCTCAAGAGGAAAAACCAACAAGGAGACGTTGGAGAGGGTTGATGAACAGTGTGTTCTGAGGGGTCCGAAACACCGCGACAGCCACTCCACCCCTGAGCGGCGCGATAGCTGTCATGGTCCCCGGACCACGTGACTCCGGCTGGGCGCCGGTCCGGCTTCCCGTCGCTCTATTTCACTAGTCCTGATTCTCCGCCTCTCTCCTTTTCTTGTCGCGGACTCCAATACTGCCTTTCTTCCCTCAAGAGGACTGCTGTGCAGACCCAGAAATTCGGTAAGTATGTCAGAGAACGGGTGTTTCCCTGTAATCTGCCTCGTCCCCGTTGTTTCCTCGGAGTTCCAAGCAATAGGGTTATCCTCTTTTTACACCGGTCTCCAAGGACCCTGAATAGTGGACCAAAAGCCTCGGAAGGCCTTGAAAGAAAAATTGAAAATCTATATTGTCCCACAAATCAGTGGTTTTAACAGCTAGATCCGCCGAATCCCTTTGCCCCTCGTCTCCACTGGTGATAGGAGTTTTTATACAAGCTTAATAGGGGTTCATTCGGCCATCGCCAGCCCGCCTCCCGGGGTTGATAGTATCGGCTTTCCACCGAGATGCCTGTCAGGAAAGAAGGGTGCGCTAGTGTCTGCGCGTGCGCAGGGTCTCCGCCCGCCTCCCCGGACAGGACTGGGCGGGGCGCCGGAGGAAGAGGCTGGGTGGTAAACAGGAAGTGGCCGCTCAAAGCTCTGGGCGACCCGCAGGTAGGTGGCTCCGGGGACCCGGGCCTCCTGAGTCGGGAGGCCTTGTGTGTAATCAGAGTCCGCCTATGGAAGTGTGTTGGGTTGCTGCCTCAACCTAAGTGTTGTACTGGTGGCTCTAAAGGCACTCTCATACCTGCGGGCGAGTGTGTCGTTTTTCTGCTTCACCCTACAAATACCTGAGAACTGAAGAATTCAGGGTCGCCCAAGGGGAACGAGGAGGGGGTACAAACTTACCCGCTTTGGTCCTGAAGGAAAGATACACCAAACTTTTAAGTATTTTCCAAGTTGGGAGCAGTCTTAGCAAAAGTATTTGTAGGTAATTTGCTTTCACAAAAGTTAAGTATTAGTTGTGACATTATCTGTACGGGCTGATTTATGGGCACGTAGATGCTGTACTTAGGCTATCGAGAAAGTTTATGAGAAAGATATTTAGATGATATTTCCTGAAAGGACTTGTTAAATGTTTTGAGTCATAATGTAAAAGAACCTGCGTAGTTTTTCGTTGAGTACGCGATAAATTTTCTGTTAATTGAATATCTAGAGCTCCCCAAAACCAGTTTACTAATGAATAAATAAATATCATAAGGGAAGTTCTTAATGAAGGTATTTCGTACTCTGTGCAGCTTATACTTTTTTCTAAATGAAAAAAGTTGATTAACGAGTTCGTACCGTATCTTCAAATAAACTTTATCAACATTTCTTCTCTGTTACTTCCTGGAATCTTATTGCCATATTTAAGTCTTTGGCTAGGCTCTCCTGTATTATCTGCACTGCCTACCCAGAGACTTAGACAAGAGACATGTCACTTTTTTTTTATTTCCTAACCCAAAAGGTGTGGAACTTAATTTTTTAAGTTGGTATTCTGCTTAGTTTTTCACATATTTTCTTTTTTAGGATAGAAGTTATTGGCCGAGTATTGCATCATTTTTTAATAGAAATGATTGATTCTTACTAGCTATTTTGTGAACCACATTTTGTTACATAACACATGCTATAACCAATCCATTGGTGTCAGCAATATGTGAAAAATATAATAATTAACTTAAAATTAATTACCGTCTATACTGTTAGGGCTTCCTTAACATTGTAAGTCATGGTTGCCATTTGAATCTTTTTTTGGCATTTGCATTATCTGGTCTATGCCCTTCTCACTTGCAGCTGTCCAACCAAACTTTAGTACTTTGCTACTCAAATCTGTAGTCTGAATCCAGCATCAGCATGTTAGGTCCTTCCCCAGACTGCTGAATTAGAACCTGCATTTTACAAGACCACCTGCCCCCAGGTGATTTGTATACATATTAAAGTTTAAACTTTACTGCTCTGGTGTGTGTCATTGAAGTTACTGTGGGCAAATTTCTAAACTGCGGGGGGGGGGGGGTTGTTTTTGTTTTTGCTTTTTTGGTATAGATCTGACCTAAATATAGACCTGTAAATAGACAATCAGTTAAAACAAAATTGACTTATCACAAGGAAGCATTTTGTATGTATGTTATATGTATTATGTATAATATTTAACATATAAAATATATTCTGTAGCATACTTTTAAAAATAACAGTTTTATGCTATTTACATTGTTTTATCTTTAATCATTATATTTCTTTATTGTCTATAGAAAACATCTGGAGAAAATGACCCATTGGTTTCATAGGAACCCATTAAAAGCCACAGCTCCTGTTTCTTTCAATTACTATGGTGTAGCCACTGGCCCTCCAGCTTCAAAAATTTGCAAGTAAGTTTTAGTCAGTCTAAATCAACAAGTGGTGGTTGAACCATTCTTAGATACAAAGTATTTTTTTAGGCTGTATGGGTAATAGAGAAATATGTAATACATTGTCCTTAACTATAAATTCCTTACAAGTTTATAAGTGACATGTGAACTTCCATAGACTAATTAAACTTTGGCACTCATTCTGGCCATGGTCCTTTTTGGTCAGGAAATGAGTCCCAAAAAGTCTAAATCACAGAGTTAAGCTGTGTATTACAGCAGTACAAGAGATTCTACATATTAGTGTGTGGACATTGTTAACTGGCCAGATTATAGATTCATTGAGTTTAGAGCAGGTAGATATCCCTGTGACTTGAAAATATTCGTATAGGAGAAAGGATTTGAGCTGGGGCTTAAATAAATAAGAGATTAGATCAGGGTTTGGCAAACTATCCTGCAGATTCGGCTTCCTGCTTGTTATATAAAGTTTTATTGGAATACAGCCAGCCACACGTTTATTTATATGTTGTCTATGGCTTCCTCTGGCTACTTTCTTCTGCAATAGCAGAGTTGAATGATCCCAGTGGATGACCCTTTTACTAGAAAAGCCTGAAATATTTACTGTTTGGCACTTTACCTAAAGCATTTGGGGCTTTCTGCTTTAGGTAGTAAGAGGGAAAGGAGAAAGTCATTTTAAAAATCATTGTTCAAGGGTGAGTAGGGAAGTTTGGCTGGACCCAAAAAAGAGAGATGCAAGAGATATGTTGAAGGGAGAAGTCAACTAACCGTATTGATTTGGTCTGGGAGGTTGAAAAGGATTTGGCCTATGTGAGATGCAGAAACTAGATGTAAGACCCTGGTGCTTCCAATAAAGGAAAATCAGTAGACTTGCTGCTTTTGTGGGAAGAAGTATTAGAACAAAAGGTCAAAAAATTAGCTTATAAATCTGAACCAATGGTCAGCAAATTTTTTGTAAAGGGCTAATATTTTAAGCTTTGTGGGCCATATACAGTTATTATTGCATGTTCTTTATTTTTATAATTTTTTAAAAATGTGAAAATCCACCTTAGTTTGAGGGCTAAACCAAAGTAAGCTGTAGATTATACAAAAAAAAGAGTTATATAGATTGTATTTTCCCATCCCCTGGTCTAGATTCCTAGAGGCCAGCCCCAGCTTAGCTATTTTATGTGTGGCCTTGAGCAAGTTCCTGAACTTATTTGAACCTAATTTATAGTCTATAAAATAGCCTAAATTAGATATTTCTAAGTTACATTTTTCTCAAGTACTATAATTTTAAGAATTTAACTTTATACAAGTTGGGCTATAGGTTATCAAGCACCTACATAGAAATAGGTAGGAAATGTTTGAATCTAGAATAGGACTTAAGGGTTCACATTTATTCTTAGTCAAGGAATCAAATCACTCCTTTTTTACTTCTAGATAAATACATTAAACAATCTCAGATTCATAAGGTAGCCTTTCCCATTTTTAGCTATATATAATTGTTGGGATATATATACTTTCTTGGAATAAGCCTTGTTAGAGTTAGTACTAAGGAATAAGCGGAATATCTAGATCATGTAAGATTAAGTCTGTGCTCTCTTTTAAACATCACTGCTGCATGACAACCCTTATAAATCTCAAAAGAATATATTTAAAAATTTAGTACTCTTTCAAATAATTTTGAGTATGTGCCTTATTTGAGGCACCTACTAAATTTTTGATATGCAGCCCCTGTTCTCTTGGTCCTTAAAATTTTAGTGCTTTTTTCTTGTTGTTATGTATACATATTTCAAGGGTCTTTGATCATTGTCCACGTAATGTGATTTCAGAAACCCCTCTCTAACCTAACGACTGTCTGGATTAGATGTAGAACTGGAATGGAATCAAGTTAGAGCTGACAATGGAGATCTGCGAGTGGACATAGTTGAAGCTGTTACTGGTAGATGGAATCTTAAAAAAGAGAAGCCAGGGCCAGGCAAGGTGGCTCATGCTTGTAATCCTAGCTCTTGGGCGACTGAAGCGGGTGGATTGCCTGAGCTCATGAGTTTGAGACCAGCCTGAGCCACAGCGAGACAGGAAACCACAGAGCCAAAGACTGAACATTTCTGGAGGTAGGAGTAAGAAAAGGACGTAGAAAAGAAATATAAAAGGAGTTTTTAGAGATTAGAGGAGTAGCTGGAAAACTTTAGTGTTACTGGAATCAAAGGAGAAAATTCTAAAAAGGAAACAATGAATTTGTAATATTTATTGCTACGGAGCAATAAAAATAATATAGACTAGTCAGAAGCTTTCAAACAACTAATGGCCATGTGTTGTTGCATACTCTTGATGTGTGTATTGAATTATAGAGTGTAATTTCATTTTAAAATACAGTTTTGGGGGGTTGGGTTATTTCACACCTAACTGTTATAATGCACATATTCTGGATGAAGGGCACAACTTTGACATAAAATGTGCAAAAGCAAACTATGTAACCAAAATGTGTGTACTCCTATAGTATTCTGAAATTTAAATAATTTTTAAAAAGGAAAAATACAATTTTTGACTTGAGGCGTATTTTGACATTTTGTGTGTAATGTCAAATTTAGAAACTTTAAGGATGTTAAATTATGTTAAATTTCCATTTTTCAAGAAAGTTACTAAGAACTAGTTCGTGTAATTTACTCATTCTAATCCCCCTACCTCAAATGCATGCATTTGTTTGTTTTTTTAAATGAAAACTTGCTGTATATTTTTATTATGTAATTGTATTCATGAGTTTGTCTTTTTATTGGGACTGGATTTACTTTATTGTTTTTAGAAATTTCATTTATCTGTAGTGTTAGTCTTAATTAAATTAGTTCCTATGTACTTGATAATATCTTACAGGAAGGTAAGGGTGGGTGTGTGTTTGTGTTTTAAAGCTTTTACATTGAAAACTTCAAGCCACTTTTTTTGAGACAGAGTCTCACTTTGTTGCCCTTAGTAGAGTGCTGTGGCATCACAGCTCACAGCAATCTCCAACTCTTGAGCTTAAGCAATTCTCTTGCCTCAGCCTCCCAAGTAGCTGGGACTACAGGTGCCTGCCATAATGCCCAGCTATTTTTTGTTGCAATTCTCATTGCTGTTTTAGCTGGCCAGGGCCTGGTTCAAACCTGCCACCCTTGGTATATGGGGCCGGCACCCTACCTACTGAGTCATAGGCGCTACCCCTCAAGCCACTTTTATATGGATTTATTGTCTTATAACATATTTAACTTTACTCTTTCTCTGTATCTTGTATAAGTGATTTGAGATCATCCAGGGCACGCCTCCTTGAACTGTTTACTGATTTGAGCTGTAATCCAGAAATGATGAAGAATGCAGCAGATTCATATTTTTCACTTTTACAAGGTTGGTTATTTATATGAACTTCTGAGTTATTTTAAAAAGCTGTGCAGAAGTTTATGTTTAATTCTTAGACTTTTCAAATCTGAATAATCTTCTAGACTATACTCTTTGGTATCCTTAAGTTTTAGAAATGTAACTATGTTAGGGTGGTTTGTGGTCTTTCTAACATTTTGAAAATTAAGTGTGTTTACATATTTCATATTACGTTATGTCAGGAGAAGATATGAGATGTAGAGAAGGAGAGAAGAGTGAGAAGTCTCATTCAGGCACCCAGAAGAGTAATTAATCTGAAAATTTCTCTAACCAGACCTATTCCTTCTAAAATGAAAATATCTTGTATCTTGGCATAGGTTTCATAAATTCATTGGATGAATCTACTCAAGAAAGCAAATTACGATATATTCAAAATTTCAAGTGGACTGATACATTACAAGGACAAGTTCCAAGGTAAGCAGTACTGATGGAGTACAAAGTTGAAACCAGTTTTTACAACCATTTAGTGCTTAACTCAGCCTCTGTACCTGAAGAAAAAAAAATACACATCTGAAGTAATTTTCTCCAATCAAGGAATTAATTAAAAGCATTTGACCTAAATCCTAATACATACAATTAAGTAAAAATGTAATTTTTTTCCTTGACCAAATATATTTTTGAGAAAATACAAATGCTAACTAAAATCAAACAGACTGGACCTTTAATAATACACAACAAATGGTTTGGGGATTTGGAACTCAAACCTGGCTTTCCATCTTTGCCTACATTTAGGTTGAGCAGAATTGGGGTTTTTTTCCTACTTTTACTTTTCTCGTGGATACTTGAGGTGTCTTTGGTCAGTCTTTCTCCCCAGCCCCATACTCTTGATTCACAATACAGTAGTACAGTAGAACCTCGGTAAGTTGATCACCTAAGGAACTGTAACAAACAGTTCAGCATGTGGAGGTGGTCAGCATAAGGAATTAGGCCGAGTGTACTGATAAATACACGTGCTTTACTTTCTTATTCAGCTTTTATTAGAGAACATCATACAAATTCATACATAAACCAAACATAGTAAAATTAATTACACATAGTAATATCATACAAAGTCAGTTCATTTACTGTTTTCTCATGGTTTAATCATTCTGTAGAAAGAGTCAATCTTGGTCTGTTTCTTATTCTTATTACAAACCTAAGTGGAGAAAGCCCTTTCAGCACCAGCCACTCCACTCAGCATGCCTGGGCCTTTGTCTGCAGCAGGCGACTTCAGCTGCATTTTTACATGCACAACATCCTCTTCCTTGGGAGTCTCTGCAGTGTTTGTGTCTTACATTTGCTCCTTCCGCTTCATCAGTGCTTCATGCACTTTCTTGCTGGTCTGTACTTTGGTCAGTATCCCTTGGAAAATTTGCTTCTGGGTCGGGTTCATTACAGGTTGCCACCTCATCATCCATTGCAACAAAACCTTAAAAATCTACTTCTTTTGAATTCTGCTGTGGGAGATGGACTGTCTGGTGGGGCCAAAACATCGTGCTTTTGGGTTTTGATAAATCCAACTTTCTTGAAACACTTCTGTATCATTTCTGGCTGAACTTGATTCCAACCAAAACTGATCCAGGGGACAGCATCCAGAGCATTAAGTGATGCAGGGGATGAAGTTGTTTCCACAACAGGCGGGCCACACTTTGTGTTTTAATAATGACCCACACTACAGGAGCTGGACTCACTAGTACATTTAAAATGTTTTGATGATACCTTGGTCAAGAGGTTGTTTTTGTTTTTTGGTTTTTTGCAATTTTGGCCTGGGCTGGGTTTGAACCCGCCACCTCTGGTATATGGGGCCAGTGCCCTACTCCTTTGAGCCACACGCACCGCCCAAGAGGTTGGGTTTTTGAGGCCATGTTTGAAGGCAGAAATTTCAGTGTCGCGTTTGTGAGATGATTTACTTTCTGGTGGCCAAGACAGTTATTTACTATCAGTAGAGTAAGCCATTTCTTCTGGGTCGATACCCCTTACTCCTCAAATAAAGCACTAATCCATGCACATTTATTTGATCTCCAAGTGATGGGAGGTCTTTAGGCAGATTCTTGAGTGCAGATGGCTTTGCCAGTTTATCAGTCACCAAGGGCTGTGGTTTCTCTCCAGTTGAGTTAGTGCAAAGCAGAACTGTGAAATGTTCTGTGGAAAGTAAGAGTCTGCACTTGTCAGCATTAAAGTTGTCATCCTGTCATCTTTGAAGCCTCTGGCGAAGCCCAGGAACTTTTTAATGAACTCTTCCACAACTTCTACTGGAAATTCATTGGATTCACCACACAAGACTTTTCTGGGAGATCTCAGATCACAGTTTAAGATTTCTCAGCCCAACTGCTTGATGCTTGGAAATCTGCCACCCCAAACTCCTGTCTGAATTTTTTTAGCAATTCCTTGGATCATTGGCCTGGAGATTTGTGCATTAACTGCCCTCATTTGCTTGAGCCAACTTAATACAACTTTGTTAATAACTTCATCAAGGGAAATTTTCTTCCTTTTTCGCTGTAGGTCTCTGCTTTCCTTATGCTTTCTCTTTAGGTACTCAAATTTACATTTTTGGATGTTAATTCTGGTCTTCTAATGCCAAGATGTTCTGCCATCTCTTTCCAACTGTAGCTTTTCAGAAAATGTACAAGATCAGCCTTTTCTTTTTTGTCAGCTCTTTGAGTTCTTTCCTTTGGGCCGTCATGTCTCAATTAACTGTAGAATATTTTAGTAATTGTAGGCAGTACCTACAACTCAAACCAGTCCTTTTTGTTGAAAAAAATCTTCTGTAACCAATAGTGATTACCAATAGGATATTAGGCCTAATCCAAAACCTGGTAATAATAAGTTAAAAAAGAACTGACACTAAAGAAAAAATAATTAAGGGAAAAGTCCCCTTGGTGTTGAGTAGACTCAAATGGTCAAGTTATAGAGAGTAAATTAATATTGTATGTTGCAGTCTAAGTGATCAAGATAGAACTTACAGAGGTGAGTCTTGCATTGAGCACATGTGGTACATGTCCAGTCATGAAAATGAGGTCAACTTAATGAGGTGGTAAGTATAGAGAGGTGGTTAACTATGAAGGTTCTTCTGTATTTGTTTTCTTCCTTTTTTCTTTTCACTATTTCTTCTCTTTTAAAAAGCTTCCCTTTAGAACAGGGGTTTCCCACCTGTGGTCCCAGCCACATACAGATTATGTGAGGACTGTTTTGTTTATCTGTGGTGTTAGATATCAAGAAGAGTACATATGAATCTTTTGTTTTGCTCATCAATTTTAGTTAGTGTTTATGCATTTAATGTATGGCCCAAAATAACTTATTCTTCCATTTTATGGCAGAAAAAGAAAAAGGTTGAACACCCCTGCTTTAAAATTTTTTCATCACTTGAAACTATTTGTAACAGATCTAATCACAGCAGGAAACATCACAGTGGTGCTAATTTTTATTTAACTACTCTTTTAACATCACTGTATTGTTTATGTGCCCATATATTTTTATCTAAATTTGTTTCTATTCTATAAAAAGAGAAAGCAAGGAATTGGAGATTGCTGAAAAACTAGGAGAGGGTATTCATTACAGTGGAAAGAATGTGGACATCAGATTCATAACTATTTAGGTAGACTCCTAGGTTTTCTGCTGGTAAACATCTGCTTTAGCTGTGTGTTGGGGTTATGTATATAGGACTTTATGAGGAACAAAATAATAACACTTATGTTAAATAAATAATGATAGGTGGGTAATAAAATGTTCATAAATTTTAGTTTCCTCCCTTGGGAATATCATGTAGAATTCATAAATTGGGTGGGGTGTAGGACTATGACTCCTTTTCAGATTTTAATATTCTGGGACATGAAGGCTTTCTAAGATTTCATTTTCTGTTTTTTCTGTGACACCTTTGTTTCTCATTCAAAATTAAGGAATATTTTTAAAATTAAAAAGATCAAAAATTTTTAAGATCAAACATCTGTCATTGTTACATTATAAAACTTTGACAGATACTGTAATGGTTTGCATTACATAAATTTGACAGTTTTTTCCACCATGCCACATTTTTTTTTTTAACATTTTTCCAGGAGTTTTATAAGACAGTGAAGGATTATATAATGAAGACCTTAAATAGTAGAGAATATTCAGCTCATGGGAGATTGCTTAACTACTATTTAGTCAACAGATTATCCTGTTAATATATCTGTTCTGAAGTGTTTTTCAATTCTACATACTTTTGACTATTGCTTAGATGTGGTGTCATAGAAATGGAATATTTAGACACGTAATGAAATCAATGAAAGATGAAAAGGGAGACAACCATTCATGAGGCTTCACATAAATTACCAAAACTCTCTTATTACTGAAAGGTAAGTTGTAAATTAGGTATGCCCACTGCATCACCAGATATAATTCATTTGAAAGTTTTTAGTGCTGTGCTCACTTTGACAGTACATATACTAAAATTGAAAGTTTTCAATGCTGAAAAGAATAAGCTGTTAAACTATTAAATTTTTTTGAGCAGGATAAAACTATTTTAAGAAGTGTGTTTACGGCTTGGTGCCCATAGCTCAGTGGTTAGGGTGCTGGCCATAGACAACAGAGCCAGTGGATTCAAACCCACCCTGGGCCTGCTGAACAACAATGACAACTACAACAAAAAAATAGCTGGGGAAAAAAAAAAAAAAGGCTCGGCGCCTGTGGCTCAAG